GAGAAGCTTCAATTGCAACTATTATTTGCATAGCCGCCACACCCCTACCCACGGTATTCTTATTTGCATAGACATGATGAATAATTTCATTCTAACAAGTTAAATGTAGTCCAGACTACACATTCAAATATCCAAGTTAAGCTAAATTCTAGCATGAAAATAAGCTTAGAATAGCAAAAATTCCCTATTACAAATAAAAATAAGTCATTAAATGGCACAAATCAAATCGAGAGACTAATAAGAACTGAAGATATCATAAAATCTAAAACCACAAATAGGTCTCAACAAAAGCATAACATTGTGACCAAACCTACATTCCACAATAGCTAAAAGTAACCGTAAGTTTCAGTTAGAAAAGAAAAGCTTAACTAAAATTGCTGCTTCAAAAAGTCAGATTCTGAGTCAGCTTTCTCCAGCCTGAACCTTCAAGTACCTGCAAAAAATGTAGAATTATACAAGATAATAACAACAGAAATGATAATTCCTCCATGTGAGTCAAACTTCATTCAATATTAGAGGTCAGTAAGAACTTGCAATTCATACGAAACTCAATGGCATGATATATAATCTTGCTAAAGTTTCTATCCATCAAGTATCTCAAAGCAGCTCGTGTTATGAGCTGAAACCCACCCAAATCTCCTGCTACCTAATAAAAGGTCAAGCAACCTTCTGCCTGGTACGGCAGAAGTCAATGCCAAAGACTAAAGGATGCCAGCTCTGCCAGAAGTACAAAGGTAGATTTGTTTATTTTCATGCTTAGATGTCTGTCACTTGTGCAGTGTTCGAGTCCGAGGTGTGAACCTTTCCTCTCCTCCAGTAATCTCCCAGAAGGGTTGGGGAAAATGGCAATTACCTTAAAACTACTGGGTTCTTGAAGTAAGGAGTTAAGGAGCTAATGCCTTATTAATTAAAGTAAGATGTTGACTGAGCTAAACATATCTACACTTTATAGTTTTATTGATCTCCATTAGAGGAGATAATTGCTGTGGTATTCTTTCAGGCAGAGAGGTAAGTTTAGTTGAACACAAAACAACTTGGTCTTTAAGCAATCAAAGAAACCTAGGTGATGGAACCAAACTTATCGATCAGGTCATATCATTCTCTCTATATTGACAAGAAGAAATTAACCAAATTCCAAATCGTTTTAAACAAAATGGAATTTTGACACTCTAGCACAACCGTAAATGGCAAGGACAAAGGAGTTAATCGTTTCTTCTTAACGAAACAACAGCAAATCTAAGGAGAAACGTTGAATACCTGTACACCGTTGAACTGTCAGCAAAAAACAACTAATTCATATAGAACATGCTGCAATAGCTGAGCCTCGTTAAGAATGAAGGAAAAGTTCTGCACAAGTGTGTGTAGAGGAAGGATCTTGCATGTCAATCACAGCATCACTCTCACTGTACACGGCATTTCTTTCACCCTCTGCTAAACTAACATTGTTGTCAGAACAAGCTTCGATGGGCTCTGCTATACAAATGATCTTTCCAAACAACTGGATTGAAGAAACAGATCCCCGTTTTCCAACTAACTCAGTGCAAGAAAAGTGCACACTGCTCTGACTATCAGGTGATAAATTGTCCACACGTGAACTCCCGATATTTAGTTCTGTGGAGATTTTCAGCTCTGGTTGTGTTCCATTCTTCATGAAATTAGAGATTATTGGATGGGAATAATCACTGTGGGAGTTGGATGGAGTGGATACACAAAACTGATCTAGCCTGGCTCCCTGCATGCCAGCAGGAAATGAATTATAATTGAACATTGATGAGTTCAAATGTCCAATCATCAAGTCGGTTGACTCTGTAGTAGGGATGAAGAGCTCTCCCTCTCCATCAGGTAGCTTCCCTGGAGATTGCCCGACTTTGAATTTTTTCAGAGGAGGAAGTGCTGAATGAATCTGTGGCGCGGGCAGAACATATTCAACTTGCCAAGGGCTTACTGTCTTCGCATTCTGCAGAACTTCATGTTCATCCCACATCACCTACAACAGGAAAACTAGATCTTCAGGCAAAGTTAAAAAGGAAGCAGGGAATACAACTGTGTGATATCACATTCAGTATTTATGGGCATACAAGTAAAACTTGATGAGGAGCAAATACACAATGTTTCTGCTAATTTTATGCCACAAAAAGAGCAATCCCATTAAAATTTTTGGCAACATCTTCACCAAAGGCCTCTAAATCCGAGGACCTTGAAGAAACCAGAATCCTTAGAAACTCAATTGTCAAAGGTGATGTAATCATTATCTATTAGTAAAAGAAACACCATCCCCAGTGACCACATGTAAAATTTTTAGTACTTCGTGACCTCCATGACTGATCTATGAATTACCAACTTACATACCATTATTGATCTGCAAAAATTACCAAGAAAATAGATGCCAATGTTATTCGCCTATTTATTTTTTTTTAAAAAAAAACCCCTTTCGTGAATATGAAATGACCACTTCAAACCTCAACAAAAACCAACGAAGACATTGTTTACAATAGTATAGCATGATAGCATCTGGTCGAATCAAGCACAGACCATTACCAATATATTTGTTCTCCATATTATAGCACCTGACCAAATCATACAAAACTACCACTTGAACTACGATAAAACAAAGAATGAAATGCTTAGAGATTATACAGCATCCAAACAAATTAAGCATACAGGCTCACCACTTGATCTCCCATAAAATACACACTGGTATTTGTCACCAGAGGTAAAAAATCTAGCATCAGACTGGGTTAAGCATGCCACGCAACATTATCATTAAAAATTCGAGATAACCAACTCCAATCAACATGGAAATAGATCAGTATCATAATAACTCAATGTCCAGTCCAGTATAATATTACCATGTGTGTCAATAATCCAATCTTCCTTTCAGGAAGGGAAAATTAGATAAATCCTAATGATTGCAGCTTTCTCCAAGAAGGGACGTCCTATAATCCCTCCAAGAACAAAGAACAAGAAAGGACATTGAAGAGAAAGTGTCTGCTTCGGAGGCAACAATGTGAGCCTTATCATAGGGATCGCAGAAGTGAATTTAAATGAATGGGCAAATCTCAGCTTTAAAGCTTTAGGTTCCTCAGCTTGCTGAGTTAGTAGGCTTTATAATAGTTCTTCTCATCGGATTCCAGATCCAATTGCATGTTATAGCATCTGACCAAATCAAACATACTAAATTACCAATTGAACTACAATGAAATTCTTCGCCATTACACAACATCCAATCAAATCCAGTGTACAGAAAGGCCACTGGATCTCCCATAAAACAATTTCTTCAGTAGAGGTCCAAAATCTAGCAACAGAACAGGTTAAGTATGCAATACAATATTATCATAACAAATTCAAGAAAACCGACTCCAGTCAACAAGGAAATGGAACAAGAAAACAACAATTTAGCCGCTGTTTGGGCTCCATTTTATTCAAAATGCTTTTTTCTCTCTTGCCTTTTCAACTACACATTCTCTAATAAAATAATATTACACATAGATCTAAAACTTTTTCTTCTTTTTTTAACCACACATTCTTACATTTCCCCCCAAAATTTGATTTTAATGGAGCCAAACAAGGGCTTAATGTCCAGTCTAGTACTTTATCGCATAGCTGTCCCAAACAATCAAATCGTACTCAAGACAGCTCCGTACCCACAAAACAAATCATCTTATAAACAAATAATGATCATTCACCGATGACATACAAATAAACATTCAGCAAGGATCCGCAAATAAGTACATATATACCTCATGTGCATTCCATACAACATTATCATTACATGTTTGAGAAACACTACTCAACGTGGCAATGAAACTACCTAATAATTCAATTTCTGATTCTTATGCTAACGGAAAGCTATCCCATCAATCCAATAATACTTGAGACAATTTCTAGATACAATTACCCAAAATATATCATCTTCTAAACACGAAACTCATTCGAAAATGACAAAAAACTTAATAAGTATATATACCTCAAGCATGCGCCACGGAGAAGCAGCCGACGGCACCCCAATGGAGGAAGTCGTTGACGAAACAGTGCCCTGGAACCAAGAGGTGCGCGAGGAATCTTCCGTCTCCACAGCCATCTTAACGCGCATTCCTGCGCTCCAGCAGAACCTAAGCGAATCCTCGACTTTCTCCGCGCTCACTACAAAATCTGGAACCCCCGTTCTCGGATAATAGAGCACCTCAAACGCCCTCCCCTTCTCTGCCGTCTCAATTGCCTCTATTACCTCTCTCTCCTTCCCATCACCACCATTACCATTATTGCAGTACTCACTTTTCACTGTCGAGTTTTCCACAGCAACTGGACAATTCCAAGTGCTAGCAATCCCCCGAACCGCACGCCTAATCCCGACAAACAATTCGCCAGTCGATTTTTTCCTCATAAAAACCACTGAATCTCCAGAAACGAGCCGCTTGCTGTTCACGAACCGGCTCCAGCCGGTGGTGAGCAAATGGCGGCGCGGTGTGCCTCGATAAATGTGCCGAAACTCCCATGCATTATTCTGACTGTCATTGATAATAAGAGTCTGAACCGGCGGGTCAGCCGAGAAATCGAGCCGGGGGAAAATCAAGTCGGCGCAGAATCTCGGAACGGAGAATCCCCCGCCGTTATTTGCATCTGAAGGCGTCAGAATCTTAGCAAACGAAACGACGTCGCTCTCATCCATATCCCTTTTCTCTGCATTCTCCGTTATGATGTGCAGCTCACGTGACTGGAGGGGAAGGAGACGGATTTTGGCGAATGGTTGGTCAGAAGAAGGGTCGGATAGGAAGGACACGTCGAGGACTTGGCAGGAAACCAAAGGGGTTTTGAGCAAAATGTTGTAATTTTTGATCGAGGAGAAGTGTTCCAGGTGGCCTTGAGGAAAGTAGTACACACGGGAATTGACAGCGGGGATATGGACAGCGGCGCCGGCGGTGGCGCGCCAGATCGCAGGGTCCATTTGGGTGGAGGAGGCCGACATTGCTGGTGATGGAGTGTTCTGTAATATGTATGGGTTTGGGATTGGGGTTATATATAAGTGGGTGGGGTGGGGTGGGTTGAGGTAGCGTAGGGTAGGGTAAGGGGTTAGTGGCGTCTCTGTGTGGGAGTGCTGAACCAAGGAAGGTTGGGGCCCAGGGGTTTCGTAGGGTAACAAACATGCCCTTGATTTTTAAGAATATTACGGAAATGCGTGAGTGACCGTCATAACTACTTTGTAGTTGCTAGAAGAACAAAATTCTCCACGCGCCTGTAATCGATTGAATTACACATCATGGGTAGGATACTGCTGTTTATTTTTATTTTGAGACAAAGTAAATATTTCTTTTATTTGGTAATTTATCTTTTATTATTTTGTAGTAGTGTTAATGCTCATTTAAATATCATACAAACTTCATCGTTGATTTGAGATTTAAATTTAAAAATTTATGTAGAAATAGAAGCTCAATCTTGATTGAGTTATTTCCTTAAAAAAAAATGTCACAAATAAATGCTACCATCGACTTAAATGAAAATGTGTACTTGGAATCATTGTTACCTTGAAAATTTTCATTGAAAAGACATGAAAGAAGACCAAGACCAAGTGTACATTTACATCTAAACTGATATTTAAATATAACTTTTATGAGAAGAATATCACACGAGATAGATTGATAGTCAGACAAAAAGGTGGTCCAGTCAGTTTTTCATTATTCACTTCGCACTCGCAATTGAAGAACGAAGAAGATTTCCCAGAAGTAGCAATGATAACCGTTGGCAGTTATTTCTCGTGTTAATTTCGTTAAGTTCATTAATATTGTTAAGTTCATTAATATTCATGTTGTGACATTCTTAAAAGTTATATTCGTCAGTATTGTTAGTATTGTTAAGTACATTAATGCTTAGGTTATGATGATCTTTAAAACTTTCGTCTACATGCTAAAAGTTAGATTGTTATTTTTTGTACCAAATAATGAGCAAAGGTTAACGTACTTTGTTTCATTATGTCTTTTAAGGAATAATTAATATTTTAAACTTAAAAAATTACTAATTGTGAATATTTGACTTGACGAGAAAAATTATAAAATGATCTTAAAACATATTCAGTTATATATATATATATATATATATATAAAATAAATTTAAACCTGCAAAATAATATCGGAATGGACTAATTCACCCATAATTGGTTTTTAATTATTTAATTAAATTATATTTCTAGTTCTATTCGTGTGCCAATTTTAAATATTGTTCCATAGTAATACTTAAAAACTTACTATTTAAAAAAAAACATTAAACAACATCATCTTTAATGAGATTGAAAATATTGTCGTATATTGAATAATGTGATACTGATTCACAAATACTAATACTATTATTCAAGTAATGTGCAAGTCGTCACAAATATTGAATTGATATTTATATTTTTAATAAATATTCGAAAATTAAAAATCAACTTTGCCCGCGCGTGTGTTTCACCACAATTAAAACGTGGAAGTTGAACATGTCAGTTCAAATGACTATTATACCCTAACCCACAAAACTATATGACTCTCACGTCACGTTCGTTGTACTTTATCCCAGGAGGAGATATTTACACGTCGAAGAAGTCGGGATTTAAAGGGAATTTTGTTAAATCAGGGGTATATTTGGGAATCCGCATAAAGTGTCGTGTTAAGAGAGGAAATTCTGACTTCGGTCTGTAAAAGTTTCCGCTGGCGAATACAACTCTGTGTACGTGGCACTTTGAAAGTCAAAGTGCACGGAATTTCTGTGCACTTTTTGGGTGCAATTAGTAGTTGTACCTCGTGATTTTCTGATTTTAAAAAGGTTTGTTTGAATGTTGGTTTGTTTTGAACTTGACCTACCCTAATAGCAACCCTAGCACATGATTTTTGTGCATTTTGGTAATTTCATTTTCTAAATTTTTGTGCACAAAGGTAACAAATTGCAATTTTATTCAGATCAATCTTGCGTAGTTCATAGTTGATAGAAGTCTTATTGTTTTAATCTTCATAATTTAAGTTGTTGCACATTTACACGCACAAACACAATCAACCACGGAATTTACAAATTGATTGACAGTTTATTCGAAATTCCACAATCAAAAGTAAATTTTTAAGTACTTATAAGTAAGGAATCCCAAGAAATATGATTAAAAAATAAATATAAAGTTGTAGGTACTAAAAAATGTGATTAAACCTTAAAAATGATGATAGTATTTCGTGTTAAACACCGTTATAATTTTCTCCGTGTTGTAATATTTACACTCATTGTCAGTAAAATATAATTTATAGTTAATATAGTCTAGAGTAAAATTAGAAAAAATTAACATTTCATAAATACCATAAAATCGAAGTTTATCAAGAACACCGTCTAAAATTTCCCAATAAAAAAAAATAATATATATATATATATATATATATATATATATATATATAGTTTCACTAATACCATGAGATAGGGAGACAATAAAAACAAATATGCAAAGAGACAAACTAGCACAATTCTACCAAATACAGAGGATGATGGAAAACAGGTGGGAGTTACAGTGGTTGCACAAATCAGAGGGTCGGGGACTCTTTGGAGTGGCAAGATGATCAGACGTACATTGGCTGAGGTGGTGTGGCAGCAGTGACTGGAGGAGCAGGGCAATGCTAGTTACCACGATACTTCACTGTGGGATGGGAGAATGGTGTTATCATGGTGCTGGAGACGAAGATTGTGGTGGAAGTAGGGGAAGGAGGTGACTCTGGTGGTTCAAGCGGTGGCAGGACACCACCACGATACTTGACTGTGGGATGGAAGAATGGTGTGGTCATGGTGCTGGAGACGAAGATAGTGGTGACAGTGGTGGAAGGATGGGATAGGGTGGTGTTGCAGAGGGGAAGGGGGTGACTGGTGGTTCAAACGGTGGCAGGACACCGCCACGATACTTGAACTGGGATCGTAAAATGGTGTGGTCATGGTGCTGGAGACGAAGATGGTGGTGGAAGGAGGGGATAGGGTGGTGCTGCAGGGGGGAAGGAGTCGACTCTGGTGGTTCAAACGGTACTTCACTGTGGGATGGGAGAATGGTGTGGTCATGGTGTTGGAGACAAAGGTGGTGGTGACAGTGGTGGATGGATGAATTGGATGGTGCCGCATAGGGGAAGAAGGTGACTGTGGTGGTTCAAGCGGTGGCAGGAACCACTGTAGTGAATCTAGAACCAGAATAGCATTAGGGAAACACCAAACATAATTACACAAACACGACCGTGGAACACTTGCAGCAATGACTCGAAGAAAACCGAATACAAACATAGAAAGGCTCACAATGACATCAAATGTGTGAATCCTCGGTGGTAATTGTTAACAGGTCCCTGTTACCCAAAAATTAAATAAATAAATTGAACCAAATCCATAGAATGATACTTCACCAGACACACAGCAATTTTCAACCACCAACTCACAAATCTGATTTACTCGTGCAAGCATAAGATATCAAGAACATAAATATTTCAGAACACAAAATAGGAACTAAACGCCAACATTGTGAATCTAAATAGTAAAGTATCAAGTTCCACACACATACTGCTTAAACTGTGAAATTCGACTCAAAACAAATATCTTAAAACTTCTAGATGCATATAGGTCTCTTTTCAGAAAGTAAAATCATAAAGATCCAAATCACCAAACAACAGGGGGGCATATGTGGAGTTCCTAAAATGCACTTGATGGAACGAAGGGACTCAGTCTTCTATCTGATCAGCAAAGTCGAACTCTTGACATTGCCTCCTCTCCCAACACTTGAAGGGGATTATGCTATTCTGTCCTTTTCCAGGTAGTTTATCCACTAGTACTGCACAATTATCGAATGAAGGGAAGAGAACAAAAGTGAGCACATTAACTTTACTGCCAAATCGTATCAACCATGTTTGACCGAGCTTGAAAAGTTTACTTGCAAGGAAAGGATTAAGTTTTAAAAAAAGTGTTATTGACTTGCAAGGAAAGGATTAAGTTTTAAAAGAAGTGTTATTGTATGGATCACAATTAGAAACTAGTAATTACTTAAAAAATAAATAAAAACAAAATAAAATAAAATAAAAATTTTTAACTTATAAGTAAGAAAAAGTAAATTATCCAAACATGTTTGGAAGAAAAAGTTGCTTAGAAGTAACTTTAACCTATTTTTGGCTCAGCTAAACGCACGAGAAAGAGACACGAAGATATCAAAACTAAAAGTAACTGTGCAAACGCTGGAAATTTGAAATTTCCCTCATGCTACTAACCTCAGCAGCAGTTGAATTCTTTTCAGCACTAAATGAGCGGTTAAGTCAAGGGCGAGCCCTCGTGCACCGGTGCAAGTTTCCCACTCAACCACTGCACCGGAGTTTGAAAGGTTGGCTGATTGCTATTCAGAATCGTCATAAACCTCTCCATCATCAGAAAGCTCATCAAAAGCTCGGACATCCACCTGGTAACGGAGGATTCCTCCAATTCCTCCAAAACCTCTGCAAAACTGAGATCCCTCTTGCGATTTGTTGGTGACAAATTCAAGGGTACAACCAAACTGTCTGTACTGCTCAGCAAACCACTCAAGCAATGGCTTCTTATCCTGAACCTCCAATTCTGCAGTTGTGTTCAGATCCCGGAAATTATTCTGATCAGCCTCCTGCTCCTTGTTCAAGTGTTTAATGATAATTTCTCCAGTAGAGCTATTCTTAAGCTCATACCTAACTATATCCAGATTTTCCCACACGATGAGGGTATCAATAGCACCCATTTCCAGAACTTTCAATGTGTCATCAACACCAAAAACATACTTGCCCGTATCCTGGCTGATTTCCTCAAAGTACTTGCCTATTAAGCGCTTCTCTTGTATAAATTTCACATTGGATAATATCTCAGCAGACAGTTCAATTGCCTGGTTGAAGCCACTTTCCCCTCCATATGAAACATCAACTACATTCAAAATCTTCGCCTGAAGACGAGGATCAAACATATCAGACTGACCAAGCTCAGTCTTGAAGTCAGCTGATCCAGCAAGTATGAGTCCTGACACATTGGGCTGGCTGGTGACTGGATTGATGAAATATTGAGTAGCAAGCTCTGCAGTCTTCCTTACATAGTTGTGGCGTTTTTCCATTCGCAGACGTGCAAACCTCAAAGCTGACTGCCCTCCTCTTCCATGTTTCTTAGGAAGGTCGACAGAGAATTTGTGAAGAACCTCCCTTGTGTTGCCACTCAATATCCCAAAAAGGGTCCCGTTTCCATCCATAACAATAAAACCAAACTTGTCATCAGATTCTAAAAGTTCATTCAGTGCTTCTGTGTGAAACTTGTTGTCACAGAGATATAGGGATGCATTTATGGGCTTAAAAGGTTCGAAGTCAATTGTGACTTTCTTTTCCTTCCCATCTTCAGTTATAATGGTTCCAATGTAAAACACAAGCCCATTTGGAGGAACCTTGTTGTACAATTTCAGTCTCTGCTGAGCAGATGTAATTGCACCTAAAACCGATTGACGATTCACTCTGCTTTTGATGTTAGATGCAGTCCCATATTCATCTCCAAGCATCTTCGCAACACGAGGTATTTGATCACGTGGAGGCATGATAAGAGAAATCATACTGGTACCATTGCCTCGAGCAGCTTCCAATGACTTAATGAGCTTCTTGATCTTCCATATCTCAATGTTCTTATCAGTTTCATGACCATCTGCCATCTTTTTGAGCTAGAGAAAGGAATGAGAACATGCATGTGAAAATACAATCAAATATAAACAAACATTAGACATAGATTGGGGAATGACGTGGCAAAGTAACAACTAACAAGAAGCTGAAATGGGAAACAACAAAACCATTGTAAAACAGAACAGTTGCCAGTAAGATACCAAGCGAAAAGGACAGAGATGTATATAACCGATCCTTTTTCAAATATAAGAAGATATATATTGACGAATGAATCAGAGGCTCATCACCATAATAATCTTGAACTACAGGAAATTCATCCCACCTATATTCC